AATATTTTCTACCACTCTGTAGGTTGCCTCTCCATTCTGTCGATTGCTTCTCTTGCTGAGAAGAAGCTTTTACCTTGAGGCAATCCCATTTACTCATTTTTGCTTTTGTTGCCTGGGCTTTTATGATGATATCAAGAAAATCATTGCCCAGACCTATGCCAAGAAGTTTTTTCCTTGTGGGTTTTTTTCTTGCAGTTTTATAGTTTCAGGTCTTATGTTTACATCTTCAACCCATTTTCAGTTGATTGTTGTCTATGATGTGAAATAAGAATCCAGTGTGATCCTTCTACATGTGGGTAAGCAGTTTTCCTAATGCCATTTATTGGCAAGACTATCCTTTCCTTACTGTGTGTTCTTGGTATCTTTGTCCAAGATTAGTTTATCATATGTATGTGGATGTATTTCTATTATATAATATAGTCTATGTATAGTATATTTTGGAATCGGGCAGAGTGATGACTCTAGCTTTGTTTTTATTGCTCAAGATGGCTTTGGCTATTTGGGATATTTTGTGGTTCCAGAGGAATTTTAGGATTGCTTTTTATATTCTTCTGAAAAATTTCACTGGGATTTTGATGAGGGATTGCATTCAATGTATATATGGCTTTGGGTAGTATAGATATTTTAACAATATTTTTTCCCAACCCATGACACAGGACATCTTTCCATTTAAATGTGTCTTTTTAAAAACCTCTTTCACCAGTATCTTGTAGTTTTCAGTGTACAGATCTTTCATCTCTGATTAAATTTATATTCCTAAGTATTTTACTGTTTTTGATGCTTTTGTAAAGGGGACTATTTTGTGAATTTCTTTACTAGACATTTCATTTTTAGTATAGAAGTGTAACTGATTTTTATATGTTGATTCTGCATCCTGAAATATCAGCAAAAAGTATATCTGCAGAGTTTGTTAATCTATTTAATCTGTTGTCATTTTAAGATACAGAAATAAATTGTTTGGTAATCATTGTTTTGTATTTGTTGGGTTTTTTTTAACCATTCAGACATTCAGAGACCATTTATTAATTCACTGAGGTATAAGATAGTAAGGTTAGTTAAAGATCTGAAAATTACAATATAGTTAACAGATTAAATCTTTAAGGCTGATAGCATTTTAAAAATTACATAAAATTAAGTCCTTTAAAAAGACATCCACTATTGTCAGGGTACTGGGGTGGCTCAGCCAGTTGAGTGTCCAACTCTTGATTTAGGCTCAGGCCATAATCTTGGGGCTGTTGGACTGAACCCCACATCAGGCTCTGCACTGAGCATGGAGCCTTCTTAGGATTCTCTCTCTCTCTCTCTCTCTCTCTCTCTCTCCCTCCTTCCCTCCCTCCTCCTCCTTCTCCCCTTCTTGCTCTCTATCTCACCCTCTCTCTTCCTCTCTCTCTCTGAAAAGAAAGACATCTACTATTGTTACTCAATTAAGTTTAATATAATTTTCTACATAAAACTTTTAATTTTATACAATTTGTGGAAACTGATAACATTTTAAACTCATTAAACCAACATGTGAAATACTGAAAACCTGAATTATAAGGAATTTAACCCTAGTTTTGAACAAACAAAATATTATGCCAACATTGTTTTTATGTGGCAAACTAACTTTTTAAAGACTCTGATTTTTTTTTTTTTATCTTTAAACTAAAGCACTTTCTTATTACCTTGCAGCTGTAGTAAGAAAGCCCCTTGTGTATATATACTTTTCAGTGTCCACAAAAGGAAACACCATTTAATAACTTTCCCTTTTTGAAATCTTATAGACAATTCTGGTTGTATAGCTAGACTAGGTATCCCTAGAGTGCATGCAAAATAACTGAATTACTTTTTGATTAATCTTTAAAGTTTCACAGGATGGGAAAGAGACGCAGGGGTGGGGATAGGAGAGAGGGCTGCAGACAAAGAGAGGAAGACGGTTCAGATGTACAAAAACAGATTTTACATATATACACACAAAAGGGGGTAACATACAGCTGGCTTTGACATAACCTGAACCATTGGGAATTTTGTCAAATCACATAGTACAAAAGCTAGCACTTGTTAATCCTCAAAGTACAGAAAAGAAAGAAGGAATGTCTCTCATGTTAAAATATATATAAATATGTACTATATATATATATATATGCACGCACACACTATATAGTATGTGTGTGTGTGTGTGTGTGTGTGTGTATCTCTTTAAGACAGACACTCTTCTCAGGGGGTTTTGGTTTTGTTCTAAGGTCCCCCTCAAATGAACAACGTTGTTCATGTCAAAAGCTCCCCAAAGCGGTGTTGCTATTCCAAATTGTCTCTGTTGAAACTGTTTCAGTTAGAAAAAACAGCATACAATTTAGCCCTGTAGTGAGAAAACACGACAGCAGCAGGTGTCAGCCTGTAGAAGGGTATGAACTTGTGGAAGGTTCTTACCCCCGTGAGAACTGAACAATCTGTAAGCATGATGCCCATGTAGCTCGGGGTCTCTGGTGTTTGGCCAAAGGTTGATCATTACCACTTGGGGGCCAAACAAAACCTCATGATTCTGGGCACATGGAACTAAACGGGGCAACTGTCTGGGACACAAAGGCAGAACAGAAAAGGAAGTCCTTTTAAGCTTTTGAAATGATGTCCATAAAAATATGTGTCCATATCACAACTACCCGAGGGCACCTTCTGAACTCCTCAGTCCCCAGGACCAGGTCATGGATGACCTATTGGACAATATTTGCCTTCTCCCTGTAGAGTTTTCTTCTTACGGCCAAACAACACTCAAAACATTAGAACAGTAACACAAGCCCTAAGAGGAGGTATTAGAAGGCTCGGAATCCATTTCACCAAGGACAATACAAAACCGATTGGGGAACAACGATATCCCAAGAGACTTTACTCCAAGGAAACAAAATAAGCCCAATGCTGATGGGCTTCAGTGAAATATCGGAGCTCAATTCTGCATGAATTTAGCCTTCCTCCATGGACAGGGTAGCTTATCAGGCAGAGAGAAACACAAGGGATCGCAAATATGTGCCGTTTCACTGAGTCGAGGGTCCTGATCCAAAGAAGAGAGCACATCAGCTGACTCCCGGTGGAACATCCATTTCTGTCCCTGCCCTCTAAACCTAAGACCACTAGAAACACACCACCAGTTAAACAAATTGTGCTTATTAGTCACTGCAAGGGTGGGGGGGGGGGGTTTGGGCCTATGTTAGGTGATTCTAGGCAGGCTTTTTAAAAGCAGAGCTCTGTTCTGGGTCGGATGCTATCAGGAAGTGGATAGTTTTATGATTGGCTATTTTACTAAATCTTCTCTATGGGGAGGGCAGACCAGAGTTGGGCTGCAACTATAAATGGTAAAGAAGCCTCAGTTGCTCCTATTAGACAGGATGGGGCAACGATTGGTATTCCGTGGCCGCATTCGGACATGATCATGGAGTAGCCTTTCTGTCTTGATCCATCATGGTCACAGAGCGGCCTTGTTGGGCACTGGTGTGTTGTGCTTTTGCTTATGTTCAACAAGAGAGTGCCAAGGTCTAGCAGGGAGCGCCAGACCGTCTCGTGGCAATGACCAAACCTAGTGATTGTACGAGCCTAGCTTCTGGATGTCGGCAGCTAGTTTTCTCTTTCTCCTCATAACCCAAGCCCCCGCTTCCCGGAGTCCATGGACGTTTTGTTTGAAGACAGGCACTGAACAGCATGAGCAATGGAGAAAAATTCTCCCATTAGAAACTAACTGGGTTAGGGGTGACGAGCCAATCCCGTGTCGAAGGAATATTGTTAAAGTATCAATAAATGTCTCAAATTGGCTCCCATGTAGAATAATGCAAGTAGCGAGAGATAAACATATATTAAGATGTTCTTGAGTCTGTCTTTTTCATAAATAGTTCACGCAGGCTTATCTGTGAGCCTATTTTGAGCTGGATTTCTAGTTAAAAGTAAAAGTGTCTAAATAAGAACAATAGACCCTTTTTGCTCAGCACAGAAAAGCTCTATAATTTGCCGGAGAGATAATAGAACTGGTACACAGACAAAACCAAAGCTTGTAAAAATCTGTTTATCAACGGCCTAATAATAAGTCATCCCCTCTTAGTCTTTTCGTTCGCAATTGATTTCTGGAGGTTGGAAGCAAGTTTGTGACTCAGGAGTTTAAAGTCAGGAGAACAAATTTGCTGCCTCTGTGTCACGCTGGGTGGTAGACAGCAACAGACTGGAAGGGGACAGAAAGAAATGTGGACCCATAAACACAGGTTTGGGAAAGAGGTAAGACCAGCAGGAGTGAGGACAGAAATACCGCAGGGTCACATAACACTGGCCTCCGAAATCCATGCCAATCGTCAGGTTTTCGTGGGGTTGGTGGAGAACTAGAAACCTGAGACGGATCCGCGACATTGGCCATAAGAAAGGTGGTGAGCGATGTTACTGAGGCAACGCCAGCTACTTTTCTCCTCCCATTGGTGAGCCTGGCCTGAAGATTTAACCTTGAAGGACAGTTTGTGTTAAGTGAGAGTTTGCCAGAAGAAAGCATAAAGAAGATCCTAATGGTGAACTGTTGGATGGATTAAAATACACAGCCAAAGTAGGTTATCTAGAAAACAGATCACTCCCAGATACAGATTATGGTGTCTGGTAGTAGTGATATTATTTGAGTGAGCATTTCTACCTTTTTTTGTTTATAATACCATAGCTCATCGGCCTAACCTCCTGAAATGGCCTCTTAATGCCTCCCGTGTTGCTTCTATTATTTGCTGTGGAGTCTCTGGCTTGGACCAAGACAATGGCTATTTCACATGGATGCTCTATGTCCTAGACTCTACGCGAGGCACTTTACATACCTCGTTTCTAACCCTCGCAACAATCCCGCAAAGTAGGTGTTATTACCCCTGTGTTATAGAAGGAAATGGAGACTCAAAGGTATTTATTACATCTTAACCACATTTCCATAACTGGATCCCGGGTTTTCTTGTTCCTATGTTAAGGTGCCCAGCTTTCTCAGGGCACCTCTACTTGTTCTCAGCCTTGGCACTTACCAGGCACATCCCCTTGATCACTTCGGGAAAACTGTCACCTTTCCCAACAGGCTGTTCTCCACTCCCCTGGCCGCCCGGGGCTGCCATCTCTCACAGCAGCTCCTTATCGAGATTATTTCCCACCAGAGACGTGCGCAACCCAAGATGAGGGAAACTCAACTGCTCTTCTGAGTATTGGCCATCTGGTGGCTCTTCCTCCTGTGGCCACTTTCTGTGCCCACGGGGCTGCTCTGCCCACTCAGTTTTCCACATCCCAAATCACCGCCATGTGTATGCTCAGTAATATGAAATTTACTATCAAAAGGCTGTACAGTAAGAGGTATAAGTGCATCGAACTGCAACAGCGTTTAAGCTGCCATGCATGACTTTTAATTCTTAATTTAAAGAAACAGGAAAAAACCACAAAGGACTACAGAACGAGGCATAAACCTCGGACGTCTGTGAGAGAAAACGGCACACCCCTTACTTTCACTTAGAATGACTTCCTGTCTATTTTGCTTGGAAATCATCTCAGGCCTTTCCACGTTATTCAATTTGGAGTGGGTGCTCGGCCTGTATTTGCCAGTTGAGTCTTCACGAATTTTAATCTAAGTGCTTCTCAAGTTTCTCAAAGGCCAGGCTTTGTCATTCGATGTCATTTTACTGACCCTTGCCAAATTATCTGCCACGTTTTAGTTCGAGCAGCCAGCATATCATGGTAAATGTTGGCAAAATTGACCAAAGGAAGTAAATAAACATCAAAGCATTGAACACAGCATCTATTTTCTCTAGAAATCAAGAAGTATTTTCAAACGTGATGCAAAACCAAGTATTTGTTTTCTTTGCAACGAGGCACCCTCCACTTGTACACTGTAAAATTAACATTCAAACTGACCCGACAAAAGACATGTCAGCTTCCCATTATTTATAGGACAATAACAATACGGTTATTGTTCTAGAAAATAAAAGCTTTGTGTTCACCTTATCACTCTATAAATACCAAATTTTAATACTGGTAAAGAGGAAGAAATGAGTTATGAAGATATATTGGGCCACTTCAGAATGTGCTGAATCTCAGTATGTATAAATTCAAATTCAATCATAATATTTCAGAGAAACCCATTCAGTGCTCATCAAAGGAAAATAAAACTGCAAATAGTCATATTAACATGATTTTGAAAATTTCGAAACATCACATTTACGCTGACTTAAAAAAATATATCACTTAAAGAATCCGCAGAGTCAAAATATTTACAAGGAGATAGAATGTGTGAGACAGAAGTCAAAAGCTACTGGCAGATAATAAAAATATGGAATAACCGCCCCGCTATTTCATCACTTCTTTATAGTTTCTCTAAAGTCTCCGCAGACATACATTTCTGTCAATCGAGGCTACTTTTGAATAACGAAATTGTGCACACAGTAGCCTCATCATGGATTACGAGCCCCACATCATGTGTCGTCACCATCTCCGGGTCAAAAATGGTATTAGAAGCTTTCCCAATTCTCACCGAGAAAGCCGGAGAGAGAATAAAAGAATTTGAGGATGGATGCAAAGAGCAAATTTACCTTCAAATCTGGATTAGAAGGAGAGATTTCTGGAACCAAATCAAGATTTCCACGTTTGGCTCTGGAAGGAACATATTCTGACGAGGACGCATGGCTGATCCGCCCCATTTTATTCTCTTTGCTCCTTTATCTCTTGCGACATCTTGCTCCTGCCTCGCACAACGGCCTTGGGGGAGGCGAGCAGGGTAGCTAAAAGAAACGCATAGGGGCGTGATGAATAACTGTCCAGGGCTCGTTTGGATATAGGCTAGATCTCTGTAAAGTAACAAGTTCATTACGTCTCAGGCAACTGCTATCATGGGAAAGCTCAAAAAGACGCAACCTCCCTCATTCACAAGAGGATTAAGTCACTTTAGTCCCCTGTCCCCTCCTCCCACCCCACCACCCACACTGCAAAAAAATAAATCAGTTCTGAGGCACCTGGGTGGCTCCGTCGATTAAGCATCTGACTCGGTTTTGACTCAGGTCATGTTCTAGCGGTTCGAGTCCCACATCGGGTTCTGTGTGGATGGTGTAGAGCCTGCTTGGGGTTCTCTCTCTCCCGCTTCGCCCCTACCCTGCTCACTCTTCCTGACTCTCTCTCAAAATAAATAAATAGACTCTAAAAAAAAAAAAAATCAGTTCCTTTCATCCAGGGTAGAAGCAGATGTTAGAACACAAAAAGGAGTGAGGGCCTACATGGGGTAAAGCAGACCCCTTCCTTCTTGCCCACACAAGTACACACACACACACACACACACACACACACACACACACAGTAGCAGAACAAGGCCAGAGCAGAAAAAGACCCAACACAGTAGTGGTGGTAGGAGGGCCTGGTCCACACCCTGGTGAGCAAGATGCAAAGAAGAGGGCTTAATATTTTCAAACGATTCTTAAAAGAATAACTTCTTCAAATGTATTTCCTCCATGATGAATTCATGCGTAAGGCCATGAATATCAAGCATCACAAAAGAGTAACATTTATTTGTACTTACAAACCACCAGGGATTGGACATTTGCCTGTGCCCCCTTGACTGCTGAAACAGAAAATCAAATTTCCCCCCTCCTTTCATTGTTTTTGGCTGCAATTACAGCAATTCGGTCGTCAAGCTTCTCTCCATAGCAAATGACGGGTCTCCTGAAGCTACAGGAAGCCATGAAAGGGGGGTTTTACTGGTTTACCAAAGCAGGTAGGAAGGAAAGGGTTTGGCAAGAGGTGAAAGACGATGCATGTTCGAAAGCTTTGGCAGATTCGGCCAGCAGGTCCTCTCCATCTGTAGGCATAGTGGAAAATCCAAGTACCAGGGTAACTTGACATTCTGGTTAAAAATGCAGCTGCCGGCACATTGCGGATCCCTGTGTATGCGCTGAGTTTTTGTTTCTGCCTTTTTTTTTTTTAAGCATTCTATATTCACCACCACATATGCCCCTGTCCCCCGCCACAATTAAAATTAAATGGAATTGTAAGAAAAGATGAATATGGAAAATATTCGCCCATGAAAACCATTTCCCTGGGGATTTGTGGTGGCAGTGGTAACCTACTGCTGGGGACATCATGTGCCTTATGAAGTCATTATCATCTCTCCCTGGAACTTCAGCTGTGTTTGGCCAACCTGTTCCATTCTGGGTTAATATAATGCTATGTTTCCGACTAGGTGTGGATATTTTAAACCACAATTGCAGTCCCTCCTACACACATACGTATCCTTCCAAACACATTCATTTTTGAATGATTACATCAATTAGCTGGGAACAAGCTGAAGTTAAAAGTGAATAGGGAGCATCAGAGCCATTCAACTATTTCTAGAAAATAAGGAAAGATGCTTTTATGAAAACAGAGATTTCAGAGGTCAGAGATGAAAGTGTGGAGATGATCATAAAAGGGCTTTAAACCTGTGAAGGAAAACGCTGCCTGGTGTCAAGGAAGGTGCCCTCGGAGCACAGGGCCTGTCCGGGATCCATCTGGGAGACAGACAGCACCTGCTTCTAGAAGAATATTCAGGAATGGGTTGCTTGGGGAGGGAGGGCGTCATCATGTAAGACAGAAAAGGCAGGGAAAGGAGGGCAAATCATAGGGTGCTGAAGTGTGGTCAGTGACCCACTGTTCGTTTCCAGAAATAAAAAATGCTGTGTGCACCACTGACAGCAGCTAGCACCACAGGCCGGGGGCCACGTGGCCAGGAATTTCTTCTGTACCCAGGTCAAGGATAACGCTTTATGCTCTAATAGAAGTGTCTTTTTTCCTCTATTTATCAGTCAATCTGGAATGTTCCAGTATACAGAGAAGAACAAAAAGGAATAACGGACACCCAGGTACCCACCGAAATGGAGGAAATGTTCATTTGGCTGTTTATCTCACAGCTTTGTTGGGGCATAGGACCAAAGGTCTAGAGGCTGCTAGTGGGTCCCCCAATATCTCTTCTTGCTGTTTTCTTTTTTAGTAGCAGAACCTTGATTGGGCTGTGCACAGGGCTTCCCAGATCCCCCAGCCTCCTCTGAGGCTCAGGGCGACAGCGCAACTAAGTTGTAACCAATGGGATGTGAGTGAAAGGGGCACCCTTCCCACAGTCCTCTTTGCTTCATGCTTCACAGTGCCCTACAAACAACAGAACAGTGAGAGAGAAAGGGCCCAAGTCCCTGACCCTGTGAAACCATCATAGCTATGCCGAACTTCTCATACTTGGGCTATAATGTGAAAGAAAAACAAACTTCCATCTTGTTCAAGCCACTCTTACTCTGGGTTTCTACTACAGCAAGCCAATTCTGTACCCTACCTAATATAGCTTTCCACTGGATAAATATTCCTTGGTACTATATACCAGGTACTCTCCTAGGCCCTGGTATATGGTACTAAATCGCCAAAAGTCCCTCACCCTCATGGAGCAGAAGAGACACATAGAGAAAAATAAGGCAAGAAGGATCGAGATGGTGTGGCAGCTGCAAATGGAGATAGAGTGTGTGGTAAGGCCTCACTGACATTTGAGCAAAGGTGTGAAGGAAGTGAAGAAACAAACCATCTCGATATCTAAAGGAAGAACATTCCTGAATAAGAAAAACAGCAAATAAGAGACAAGGGCCACGAAGCAAGGACTTGCATATTATCGGGGAGTAATGGCGAAAGAAACCAACGTGGCACAAGTGGACGGAATGAGGTGGGACAGAAACAGGACAGGAGGTCACAGAGGGACAGGGGCACAGACAGAGCAGAGCTCTGTAAGCTATTGGAAGGACTTTGGAGTCAAAGCAGGGGATATGGTGCAAAGTGGCAGTACTCCAGATAAATTATAAAAATACAGCTGATGGGATGTGCTTATGGGCTAAATAGGGGGCATGAGAGAAGGAAGACAGGGTCAATCCAAGGGTTTTGGCAGAGCAATTAAAAGGATGCAGTATCACTTACTGAAATAGGGAAGAATGCAGAAGGAGCAGGGTTTGCTGAGAAATCAAGACTCTGGGTTTTGCTATAGACTGAATGTTTGTAACCCCCCCAGATTCATATATTGGAACCTAATCCCCAGTGTGATGATATTAGGAAGTAAGGCCTTTGGGAGGTTATC